AAACAAAATTTACAACAATGACACGAAACTGTCGAATTATCAATAACCTAACCTTCAAATTCAAAATCAAAATTCAAAATTGCCTGTGTGCGAACCTTCCTCGCATTCAACCAATCACGTGCAAGGTCAATCTGGTGACAAATTTAAAATACTCCTCCTGGTTTAAAAACAGAGTATAGTGCAATCACAAAATGTCAAAATTCGATGATTTTTCTTAATAAAATCAACTAGGTATAACTTAAGTACTAAAACTGATGGAGAAAGATGTTGTGAATAAAAACTATTCTTAATGCATCAAGAAATCATAATCCATAATTATTTCATATGTATCTACCACCAGTTTTTAGTGATATGGCATAAATCACAAAATGTCAAAATTGGGCGATTTTCTTAATAAAATCAACTATAACTCAAATACTAAAACTGATGGAGATAGACGTTGTGAATAAAAACTATCCCTAATGCATCATGAAATCATAATCCATACTTATTTCATATTTATCTATCACCAGTTTCTAGTGATGTAGCATAAATCACAAAATGTTAAAATTTGACGATCCTTTTTAATAAAATCAAGTATAGCGTAGGTACTAAAACTGATGGAGGAAGATGTGGATAAAAAATATTATTAATGCACCAAGAAATCATAATCCATACTTATTTCATATTTATCTATCACCAGTTTCTAGTGATATGGCATAAATCACAAAATGTCAAAATTTGACGATCCTTTTTAATAAAATCAAGTATAGCGTAGGTACTAAAACTGATGGAGGAAGATGTGGATAAAAAATATTATTAATGCATCAAGAAATCATAATCCATACTTATTTCATATTTATCTATCACCAGTTTCTAGTGATATAGCATAAATCACAAAATGTCAAAATTGGACGATTTTTCTTAATAAAATCAACTATAACCTAAGTACTAAAACTGATGGAGAAAGACGTTATGAATAAAAAATATTCCTAATGCATCAAGAAATCATAATCCATACTTATTTCATATTTATCTATCACCAGTTTCTAGTGATATGGCATAAATCACAAAATGTCAAAATTCGATGATTTTTCTTAATAAAATCAACTAGGTATAACTTAAGTACTAAAACTGATGGAGAAAGATGTTGTGAATAAAAAATATTCCTAATGCATCATGAAATCATAATCCATACTTATTTCATATTTATCTATCACCAGTTTCTAGTGATATGGCATAAATCACAAAATGTCAAAATTCGATGATTTTTCTTAATAAAATCAACTAGGTATAACTTAAGTACTAAAACTGATGGAGAAAGATGTTGTGGATAAAAAATATTGCTAATGCATCATGAAATCATAATCCATCCTTATTTCATATTTATCTATCACCAGTTTCTAGTGATGTAGCATAAATCACAAAATGTCAAAATTTGACGATCCTTTTTAATAAAATCAAGTATAGCGTAGGTACTAAAACTGATGGAGAAAGGTGTTGTGGATAAAAAATATTATTAATGCACCAAGAAATCATAATCCATACTTATTTCATATTTATCTATCACCAATTTCTAGTTATATGGCACAAATCACAAAATGTCAAAATTCGATGATTTTTCTTAATAAAATCAACTAGGCATAACTTAAGTACTAAAACTGATGGAGAAAGATGTTGTGGATAAAAAATATTCCTAATGCATCATGAAATCATAATCCATCCTGATTTCATATGTATGTATCACTAGTTTTTAGTGATATGGCATAAATCACAAAATGTCAAAATTGGACGATTTTCTTAATAAAATTAACTATAACTCAAGTACTAAAACTGATGGAGGAAGATGTTGTGAATAAAAACTATTCCTAATGCATCAAGAAATGATAATCCATAATTATATCATATGTATCTATCACCAGTTTTTAGTGATATGGCATAAATCACAAAATGTCAAAATTGGACGATTTTCTTAATAAAATCAACTATAACTCAAGTACTAGAACTGATGGAGGAAGACGTTATGAATAAAAACTATTCCTAATGTACCCAGAAATGATAATCCATAATTATTTCATATGTATCTATCACCAGTTTTTAGTGATATGGCATAAATCACAAAATGTCAAAATTGGACGATTTTTCATAATAAAATCAGTATAACTCAAGTACTAAAACTGATGGAGTATGACGTTATGAACAAAAAATATTCCTAACGCATCAAGAAATCATAATCCATAATTATTTCATATTTATCTATCATCAGCTTCTAGTGATACAGCATAAATCTCGAAATGTCAAAATTGGACGATTTTTCATAATAAAATGAACTATAACTCAAGTACTAAAATTGATGGAGAAAGACGTTGTGAATAAAAACTATTCCTAATGCATCATGAAATCATAATCCATACTTATTTCATATTTATCTATCACCAGTTTCTAGTCATATGGCATAAATCACAAAATGTCAAAATTCGATGATTTTTCTTAATAAAATCAACTAGGTATAACTTAAGTACTAAAACTGATGGAGAAAGATGTTGTGGATAAAAAATATTCCTAATGCATCATGAAATCATAATCCATCCTTATTTCATATTTATCTATCACCAGTTTCTAGTGATATGGCATAAATCACAAAATGTCAAAATTGGACGATTTTTCATAATAAAATGAACTATAACTCAAGTAATAAAATTGATTGAGAAAGAGGTTGTGAATAAAAACTATTCCTAATACATCAAAAAATCATAATCCATAATTATTTTATATGTATCTATCACCAGTTTCTAGTGCCGCTCGTTCAGCCGATCGTCTGTCCATCGATATATTTGCTTATGAATCCATTAGCTCGTTTAAAAAATCGACCTTAGCGCTGTTGGGAGCATGCCGTATGATTGTTAACATTACAATCAGCAATAACTTATTGTTGTTACTGATTGTGGTTATTTTTTACTTGTTTATAGAATGTTTCCTTAATTTCAATCAGAATTTTTGATCGTTTATTTTACTTATCTTATTTTATTTTATTTTTTTTACTACTGTTCATTACTGATGTTATTTTATGTCTTTATTATTTTGTTTTGTTTTTATTCTTTTCAGTGACACAGCTTTTATTGGGTTTGTCCTGTGCTGTGTCCTATGTACATAAATAAAATAAAAATAAAATAAAATATGGCATAAATCATAAAATGTCAAAATTGGACGATTTTTAATAATAAAATCAACTATAGCCCAAGTAATAAAACTGATAGAGAAAGACGTTGTGAATAATAACTATTCTTAATGCATCAAGAAATCATAACCTATAATTAATTAATTAAGAGTTTATTGTATGCAACAATCTGTCTACAATTCTTTACATTATTAAAATATTATTTTCACCCTCTACCCTCTTCCTCCATTTCCACACCCTCGGCTCCTCGGTCCAATCATCCCCTCATCCATCTCTTTGTCTCCTCACCCCCNCATTATTAAAATATTATTTTCACCCTCTACCCTCTTCCTCCATTTCCACACCCTCGGCTCCTCGGCCCAATCATCCCCTCATCCATCCCTTTGTCTCCTCACCCTCACAACCATTCTCATCCATCGTTTCCCCTCTCCCCCCTCTCCTAAGATCTGCCGTCGGTCCATCACTTCCTCCCTCAACTCACTGCACCCATTCAACATATATTCCAACGTTTCCTATTCCTCCCTGCACAACCAACACCACCTCTCCTCATCGGCCATCCAGTATTTGTTAGCTCTCTCCTCGTTTCCACAACGGAACCTAGCCACCAACTTCTTCCCTTTCTCATCTCCTTCCAATAACAAGTATCTAGGCAGCCCCTCCTCTTTTATTTGTGTCCTTCTTTCCTGTCTCTGCACATCTCAAGAAATGATAATCCATAATTATTTCATATGTATCACCAGTTTCTAGTGATATGGCATAAATCACAAAATGTCTAAATTGGAAACACTTAAAACTTTCTATGTATTTGTTTATCCATATCACCGTTGTAGAATTAAGGTAAATATTAATTAAAATTATATACTATAGTATATAATTTTAATTAATATTTACCTTAACTTAAAACTTTATAACAAAAAAGGGAGAGATCATTTGCTCGTTGTCGAATGGCACTAAAATTTGACCTGGATAGTGACCAATTAGGTGATGGCTATCAATCTTGCTTGATATGGTAGCAATCTTTTTAGAAGGCTAGAAGCGAAAGACAACTCAATAGCTGATTGCCATGCAGATAAACGTTTTTAGAGTATTGAAGAAGAATCACTGCCAGGTTGTCTAAACGATAGGAATTTGATATGAAAACATTTGAAATATATGAAAATAAAGATAACTTTAAGATGTTTTTGCAATGAGGGGAAAAAAGTAAATAATAATAAGCAGCTTTTTCTGTTTTAAAAACGTATTTTATTTATTAACAGTTATTAAAATTGCAACAGCTAGATGTGCAGGGTCAATTAGTGTGCAGAATTTTTCCTAAACAGGAAGTCGAATAATCAAATTTCGAGTACGATTACTTTTGTGATCTCAAAAATTCGGGAATTACGTAAGATTTAAAAAAAATATTAATTTTTGACGTCCAACATTTTGTTTTGATGTGTCTAAAATGTGTCAAAAAATTTATGTCAACCTTCTAGAAGTTCCGAAATGTAATAATATGTGTTAAATTCCGAATAAATTATGAGTCGAGAGTATGAGAGAGAGCAGATGCCCCACAGATTCATCGGTCTCGAATGATCGGGAAGAAAAAAATCCGGTGTCGCGGGGTAGCCATCTCCTCTCGGACATCTGCAAGTATCTTGACGTATCGCCAAATAATAAAAATCGCAAATCATCATCGCCGCCGCGGGAAAACGTCGAGCTCGGTCTTGAAATCGAAATCAACGAGAGTTTAAAAAGAGTTTTAACGACACCCAACAGTGGTAGCGATGACCTCCTCGACGTTACCATCATCCGGCCGTCCGAATCCGACGTCACCCATGAAACGACGGTCGCACTCAACAAAGATGAAGTTCGCGATTTTATCTCGTTGGTTGAACAACATCACCAGAATAAATTAAAAAGTGGGAAATCAAAGAAAGGTGTTGCAAAGAAGAGTGATGTCCCAGATCATATCCCATCAACAAAACAGAAAGTGATTAGTCTTAAAAATGAAATTGAGGAGAATAGGAATGAAAAGCCTGGGACACCGTGCGTTTGCCAACATTGTGGGATCATGGGGGTGCTTGTTCAATCGAATAAAGCTGAGATTCGTAAAGATAAGAGTAATCGAGATGATAAAGAAGATAAAGATGATAAGAGGGGGCGAAGAGAGCGAAGCCCAGATCAACCAAGAAGCTCAAAAGATTTCAAAAATCAACGATCGGTTGTTGATGCAAATACAAAGTCGCAAGATCAACTCACACTTCTTCGCGAAATTAATTCTAGGATTAAGGATTTAGAAAAAAGGATAACAGTCCAAGAAGAAAACGCTGTGCCAAGAGATTATCTAAAACACGTTTTGCACAAATTACTTAGCCAGTATAAAGACCAACAGAAACCACAAAATTTAAGAAATACAGGAACTCAATATATAGTTGAGCACAAAGAAAAATATCCCCAACAAGCCCCACAACAAGTCCCACAACAACCAACGAAAAAAGATGGAAAATCGAGGCATTATCAAGTACACACTTTGTTGCATACAACCACAGCACCAACAGGAATTCCTAAATTAGGGATTGGGGAGCCTTCAACGACATCTCATAACACCTCAACTGATTTAGGGATTAGTTCAGGGTCAAAATTGAAGAAGCAACCGCTTTATTTTTGGGGAGAAGAGGTGGTCTCCCCAGGTTGTGACTTAAAAACGAAAATTTTGAATCTTCTTGATGAAAAAATGGGGAATAAAAATGTTCCCCAATCGAGGATTCCGATTGCTTTGCCAGAAAAGCTCCCGAAAACTGCAGAAGAAGAAATTAAAGTTGAACGAGATGAGAATCTTTTATTTTTGGGCAAAATGGACGAAATCTCTCCTTGTAACATCGATGATTATGTACAAAGATCGAGACCACCGGAAATAATAAGAGCAGAAAAAAATGTTGCGCAACAAAATAATTACCAAAATGGGTTTAATGTTGTTCCAGAATCTTTGAGACCTGATTTAAAAATGAAACATAATCAGATGAAACCAAATCCGCCATCTTATGTTAAACCGCCGAATTTGTTGTATCCTTTTGATCCAAAACGAACGTTGGATGATTCAACTTTTAGGAGGAACATAGACGCCCATAAAGAAAGGTTGAGGGAGAAACCGAAAATGCCAGAAAAATTTTTTAATGGTTACCTCACTCAAAGTGGAAGTTCAGAATCGAAAGCTTCGATGGATATGATAATGCAAAAAATAAGACATAACAATCAAGTTGTAGAAAATAAAGAGAAAGAAAAAAAAGTAGCTGAGGAAAAATACAAGATGAGTCATTACGAAAAATTAGCAAGCTCTATAATTAAAGAAAAAATGACTTGTGGGGGGTTTCGAACCACAAAAGGGGTTGTTCAGGAAACGAATTCTTTTTCAGTTCCGGTCGATATCACGTACGTGAACCCTAAAATAACTCAATGGTCAGAAGAATCAACAGCGTCGGAAGATCGATATATGAAATTTATGAAACCGAATCAACGCAAAGATTCAATACCAGTTGAAACTAAAGAATCCCTCATTTGTAAGTACCTTCATTAAAATTAAATTTTATATTAACTCATTTTATTTAGATAAATTAGAATTTTTAAAAAACTTAGCAAAACATAAAAGTGCAGACCAATCAAAAGTATTAAACAAAATTTGGACGCAAGCTAAAAAAACGGCAAAATCAAAGAACGACGCTGTGTTTATAAAGATTCCTTTTAAAAGTGTTAACACGGTGGAGCCAAGAAACAACGTCATCGAAATGCAGTTGACGTTGGAGCAGCTAGAAACCGTGGTGAAATCGGTTAAAGTGAATGATTCGACCACGAAGATGATTGCCAAATACAAATCTTCGAGTGAAATCGATATCGGGCAAAGACAACACGAAGAAATTAGAAAGGCGAATATGGAGGTTCTTAATAAGCGGAGGAATTTTAGCGCTAAAAGTGGGAGGAAAAAATGATTGTTTTTGATTTTTTTTTATTAAAAATTAAAATGATGGTGATTGTTGTGTTGGGTGTAGTCTTTGTTGTTGTGTGTTTAAGGTGACGAATTTAATGTGTCGAAGGCTTTATTTTTTTGTTTATAACAGTTAAAAAAAAATAATAAATAGTAATTTAATTTAATTTTTTCGTTAACCTCATTTCTAAAACATGTCTATTTTTAAATATTTCTATATAATAAAGAATTCATCCTGGAAGGTTATAACTTGGTATAAGATAAACTCAAACATTGCTTTATAACCACAAAAAGTTTCATTATTTAAATTATAACCGTTTTGGAGAAAATAATTTTTTAGAATAACCTCTTTTTCTACATTCAAATTAAATCGGCGAGTTTTACAAATAAATATAATATAATGACTTGAGTTTGCAACCTTGAAATTTGATACAACCCAACCTCAAACCTCCCTTTATAACCTAAAAAACTTTCATTTCTTAAATCCTAATCGTTACGGAGAAAAAAATTTTTTTTTAAACCTCATTTTTAAAACGTCAAATTAATTAGACTATTTTTAAACATTTCTATATAATAAAGTATTCATCCTGGAAGCTTATAACTTGGTATAAGATAACCTCAAACGTTGCTTTATAACCACAAAAAGTTTCATTATTTAAATTATAACCGTTTTGGAGAAAATAATTTTTTTAGAATAACCTCTTTTTCTACAAACGTCAAATTAAATCGGCGAGTTTTAAAAATATATATAATATGATGACTTGACTTTGGAACCTTGAAATTTGGTACAACCCAACCTCAAACCTCCCTTTATAACCTAAAAAACTTTCATTTCTTAAATCCTAATCGTTACAGAGAAAAAAAATTTTTTTTAAACCTCATTTTTAAAACGTCAAATTAATTCGACTATTTTTAAACATTTCTATATAATAAAGTATTCACCCTGGAAGGTTATAACTTGGTATAAAATAACCTCAAACGTTGCTTTATAACCACAAAAAGTTTCATTATTTAAATTATAACCGTTTTGGAGAAAATAATTTTTTAGAATAACCTCTTTTTCTACCAACGTCAAATTAAATCGGCGAGTTTTAAAAATATATATAATATGATGACTTGAGCTTGGAACTTTGAAATTTGGTACAACCCAACCTTAAACCTCCCTTTATAACCTAAAAAACTTTCATTTCTTAAATCTTAATCGTTACGGAGAAAAAAATTTTTTTTTAAACCTCATTTTTAAAACGTCAAATTAATTCGACTATTTTTAAACATTTCTATATAATAAAGTATTCATCCTAGAAGCTTGTAACTTGGTATAAGATAACCTCAAACGTTGCTTTATAACCACAAAAAGTTTCATTATTTAAATTATAACCGTTTTGGAGAAAATAATTTTTTAGAATAACCTCTTTTTCTACCAACGTCAAATTAAATCGGCGAGTTTTAAAAATATATATAATATGATGACTTGAGCTTGGAACTTTGAAATTTGGTACAACCCAACCTTAAACCTCCCTTTATAACCTAAAAAACTTTCATTTCTTAAATCTTAATCGTTACGGAGAAAAAAATTTTTTTTTAAACCTCATTTTTAAAACGTCAAATTAATTCGACTATTTTTAAACATTTCTATATAATAAAGTATTTATCCTGGAAGCTTATAACTTGGTATAAGATAACCTCAAACGTTGCTTTATAACCACAAAAAGTTTCATTATTTAAATTATAACCGTTTTGGAGAAAACATTTTTTTTAGAATAACCTCTTTTTCTACATTCAAATTAAATCGGCGAGTTTTAAAAATAAATATAATATGATGACTTGACTTTGGAACCTTGAAATTTGGTACAACCCAACCTCAAACCTCCCTTTATAACCTAAAAAACTTTCATTTCTTAAATCCTAATCGTTACGGAGAAAAAAATTTTTTTTAAACCTCATTTTTAAAACGTCAAATTAATTCGACTATTTTTAAACATTTCTATGTAATAAAGTATTCATCCTGGAAGCTTATAACTTGGTATAAGATAACCTCAAACGTTGCTTTATAACCACAAAAAGTTTCATTATTTAAATTATAACCGTTTTGGAGAAAATATTTTTTTTAGAATAACCTCTTTTTCCACAAACGTCAAATTAAATCTGCGAGTTTTAAAAATATATATAATATGATGACTTGAGTTTGGAACCTTGAAATTTGGTACAACCCAACCTCAAACCTCCCTTTATAACCTAAAAAACTTTCATTTCCTAAATCCTAATCGTTACGGAGAAAAAAATTTTTTTTAAACCTCATTTTAAAACATGTCAAATTAATTCGACTATTTTTAAACATTTATATATAATAAAGTATTCATCCTAGAAGCTTATAACTTGGTATAAGATAACCTCAAACGTTGCTTTATAACCACAAAAAGTTTCATTATTTAAATTATAACCGTTTTGGAGAAAATAATTTTTTAGAATAACTTCTTTTTCTACAAACGTCAAAATAAATCGGCGAGTTTTAAAAATATATATAATATGATGACTTGAGCTTGGAACCTTGAAATTTGGTACAACCCAACCTCAAACCTCCCTTTATAACCTAAAAAACTTTCATTTCTTAAATCCTAATCGTTACGGAGAAAAAAATTTTTTTTAAACCTCGTTTTTAAAACGTCAAATTAATTCGACTATTTTTAAACATTTCTATATAATAAAGTATTCATCCTGGAAGCTTATAACTTGGTGTAAAATAACCTCAAACGTTGCTTTATAACCACAAAAAGTTTCATTATTTAAATTATAACCGTTTCGGAGAAAATAATTTTTTTAGAATAACCTCTTTTTCTACAAACTTCAAATTAAATCGGCGAGTTTTAAAAATATATATAATACGATGACTTGAGATTGGAACCTTGAAATTTGGTACAACCCAACCTCAAACGTCCCTTTATAACCTCAAAAAGCTTCATTTCTTTAATCCTAACCGTTTTTGAGAAAAAAAATTTTCTATAACCTCACCTTCAAAAAACGTCAAATTAAAATTATTTCTTTCAAAAATTTATATATAATGAACTGTTCACTCTGAAAGCTTATAATTTGGTATAAGACAACCTCAAACCTTCCTTTATAACCTCAAAAAGTTTCAACTCTTTAATCCTAACCGTTTTTGAGAAAAAAAATTTTCTATAACCTCACTTTCAAAAAACGTCAAATTAAAATCATTTATTTCAAAAATTTATATATAATGAACTGTTCACTTTGGAAGCTTATAATTTGGTATAAGACAACCTCAAACGTCCCTTTATAACCTCAAAAAGCTTCATTTCTTTAATCCTAACCGTTTTAGAGAAAAAAAAGTTTCTATAACCTCCCCTTCAAAAACGTCAAATTAAAATTATTTATTTCAAAAATTTATATATAATGAACTGTTCACTTTGGAAGCTTATAATTTGGTATAAGACAACCTCAAACGTTCCTTTATAACCTCAAAAAGCTTCATTTCTTTAATCCTAACCGTTTTTGAGAAAAAAAAATTTCTATAACCTCACCTTCAAAAAACGTCAAATTAAAATTATTTATTTCAAAAATTTATATATAATGAACTGTTCACTTTGGAAGCTTATAATTTGGTATAAGACAACCTCAAACGTTCCTTTATAACCTCAAAACGCTTCATTTCTTCAATCCTAACCGTTTTTGAGAAAAAAAAATTTCTGTGACCTCACCTTCAAAAAACGTCAAATTAAAATTATTTATTTCAAAAATTTATATATAATGAACTGTTCACTCTGGAAGCTTATAATTTGGTATAAGACAACCTCAAGCGTTCCTTTATAACCTCAAAAAGCTTCATTTCTTTAATCTTAACCGTTTTTGAGAAAAAAAATTTTCTATAACCTCACTTTCAAAAAACGTCAAATTAAAATTATTTCTTTCAAAAATTTATATATAATGAACTGTTCACTCTGGAAGCTTGTAATTTGGTATAAGACAATCTCAAACGTTCCTTTATAACCTCAAAAAGTTTTAACTCTTTAAACTCTTTTCGTTTCTTATTTCATAACCGTTTTGGAAAAATCAACAAAAAAAGCGTGTTAGGTAGCTAAGGGTTAATAAAACAATTTTGTTTTGCCACAAGTTTTTGGCATTTACAAAAAGAAATGTCTACATAACTTCAAAATTTCTAGTATACAATAACAAGTTCCGCTCTTCCGTTAACTAATTCGCGGTAATTATGATCAATTATTATGAATAACTGTTCGTTGGATCAACTAAACCCTTTCGAAGACGGTGTAATACGTTGCTCCAAGTCACGAAGTCTAATATCGGACATCAGCAGATACCTAAACATACCACCACCGATAAACTCCAAGCAAAATGTTGAACTCGGCTTGGAGATTGAAATAAACGAATCCGTACAGCGAGTTTTAAGAGATGAAGAAGCGAGCAATGATGATTTACTTGCTGTTACCATCATAAGACCGAGCGATTCAAAGTTGGTACACGAAACAACCGTGGCTTTAAGCAAGGATGATGTTAAAGAATTTATTGCTTTAGTTGAAAGACACCGGAATAAGCACCAACTAACAGACAAAAAAAACGAAAAAGATTCGAAAAAAAGTAATGTTAAAAAAGAAGTTAAAGAAAAAGTGAAGAATAAAGAAAAAGAAAAGGGAGGGATATCGCAAGGAAGTCCAACAAAAAGAAGTAGTAAGGATAACATGAACCACGGTGAATCTAAAGAAAGAAGAAAAAGAAGCCGATCTACCACAAAATATCACCAAACTGTTGATTCAACAGAAATAATTTCAAATTCTCAACCTTCCAAGTATTCTAAACTTCACGTAGCAACTTACGGCGAAAATCCGAAACAAGTTTACACGACCATTAATACTTTTGACAAATTAAAAGAAGTTCTTCCTTGCCAAAATAAATACAGAACCGATAAACCTGGAGTTCCTTGTATTTGTCCAAATTGTGGGATTATGGACGTTTTGGTTCAATCGCAAAAAGGTCCCGTTGTTGAGTTCCCCCCATTGGATGAAGTTAGACAATCCGATCGGGATGGTAAAAAGGAAAGACACAGCAAACGAGAAACCAGAAGACATCCTCCGAGTACTTTAGATATCGACATTTTAAAGGAAATCAACGTTCGAATTAATAATCTTGAAAAACGTTTAGCCCTCCAAGAAGAAACTGCCGTTAATAAGGATTATTTAAAACACGTACTTCATAAAATTTTTGCTCAATATAAAAACGATTGAAGTTGATAATTTTAGTTTTTAATATTGTTGTTTTGAGTAAAGATTTTTTTTTTGTTGAGTTTTTTTCAATGTATTTTGACAATGTTATTAAACTAGCAACTTTTAGAAAACTTTTTGTCCGAAACGGTTTATATTTAAAAAATGGAACTTTTTGTGGTTATAAAGCAACGTTTGAGGTTATCTTATACCAAGTTATAAGCTTCCAGGATGAATACTTTATTATATAGAAATGTTTAAAAATAGTCGAATTAATTTGACGTTTTAAAAAGGTATAAAAAAAATTTTTTTTCTGCGTAACGATTAGGATTTGAGTAATGAAAGTCCTTGAGGTTATAAAGGAACGTTTGAGGTTGTCTTATTATACCAAATTATAAGCTTCCAGAGTGAACAGTTCATTATATATAAATTTTTGAAAGAAATAATTTTAATTTGACGTTTTTTGAAGGTGAGGTTATAGAAAATTTTTTTTCCCAAAAACGGTTAGGATTAAAGAAATGAAGCTTTTTGAGGTTATAAAGGAACGTTTGAGGTTTTCTTATACCAAATTATAAGCTTCCAGACTGAACAGTTCATTATATATAAATTTTAGAAATAAATAATTTTAATTTGACGTTTTCTGAAGGTGACGTTATAGAAATTTTTTTTTCTCAAAAACGGTTAGGATTAAAGAGTTGAAACTTGTTGAGGTTATAAAGGAACGTTTGAGGTTGTCTTATACCAAATTATAAGCTTCCAGAGTGAACAGGTCATTATATATAAATTTTTGAAAGAAATAATTTTAATTTGACGTTTTTTGAAGGTGAGGTTATAGATAATTTTTTTTCTCAAAAACTGTTAGGATTAAAGAAATGAAGCTTTTTGAGGTTATAAAGGAACGTTCGAGGTTGTCTTATACCAAATTATAAGCTTCCAGAGTGAATAGTTCATTATATATAAATTTTTGAAAGAAATAATTTTAATTTGACGTTTTTTGAAGGTGAGGTTATAGAAAATGTTTTTTCTCAAAAACGGTTAGGATTAAAGAGTTGAAACTTTTTGAGGTTATAAAGGAACGTTTGAGGTTGTCTTATACCAAATTATACGCTTCCAGAGTCAACAGGTCATTATTTATAAATTTTTGAAAGAAATAATTTTAATTTGACGTTTTTTGAAGCTGAGGTTATAGACATTTTTTTTTCTCAAAAACGGTTAGGATTAAAGAAATGAAGCTTTTTGAGGTTATAAAGGAACGTTTGAGGTTGTCTTATACCAAATTATAAGCTTCCAGAGTGAACAGTTCATTATTTATAAATTTTTGAAATAAATAATTTTAATTTGACGTTTTTTGAAGGTGAGGTTATAGAAATTTTTTTTTCTCAAAAACGATTAGGATTAAAGAAATGAAGCTTTTTGGGGTTATAAAGGAACGTTTGAGGTTGTCTTATACCAAATTATAAGCTTCCAGAGTGAACAGTTCATTATATATAAATTTTTGAAAGAAATAATTTTAATTTGACGTTTTTTGAAGGTGAGGTTATAGAAAATTTTTTTTCTCAAAAACGGTTAGGATTAAAGAAATGAAGCTTTTTGAGGTTATAAAGGAACGTTTGAGGTTGTCTTATACCAAATTATAAGCTTCCAGAGTGAACAGTTCATTATATATAAATTTTTGAAATAAATAATTTTAATTTGACGTTTTTTGAAGGTGAGGTTATAGAAAATTTTTTTTCTCAAAAACGGTTAGGATTAAAGAAATGAAGCTTTTTGAGGTTATAAAGGAACGTTTGAGGTTGTCTTATACCAAATTATAAGCTTCCAGAGTGAACAGTTCATTATATATAAATTTTTGAAATAAATAATTTTAATTTGACGTTTTTTGAAGGTGAGGTTATAGAAAATTTTTTTTCTCAAAAACGGTTAGGATTAAAGAAATGAAGCTTTTTGAGGTTATAAAGGAACGTTTGAGGTTGTCTTATACCAAATTATAAGCTTCCAGAGTGAACAGTTCATTATATATAAATTTTTGAAATAAATAATTTTAATTTGACGTTTTTTGAAGGTGAGGTTATAGAAAATTTTTTTTCTCAAAAACGGTTAGGATTAAAGAAATGAAGCTTTTTGAGGTTATAAAGGAACGTTTGAGGTTGTCTTATACCAAATTATAAGCTTCCAGAGTGAACAGTTCATTATATATAAATTTTTGAAATAAATAATTTTAATTTGACGTTTTTTGAAGGTGAGGTTATAGAAAATTTTTTTTCTCAAAAACGGTTAGGATTAAAGAAATGAAGCTTTTTGAGGTTATAAAGGAACGTTTGAGGTTGTCTTATACCAAATTATAAGCTTCCAGAGTGAACAGTTCATTATATATAAATTTTTGAAATAAATAATTTTAATTTGACGTTCTTTGAAGGTGAGGTTATAGAAAATTTTTTTTTTCAAAAACGGTTAGGATTAAAGAATTGAAACTTTTTGGGGTTATAAAGGAACGTTTGAGGTTGTCTTATACCAAATTATAAGCTTCCAGAGTGTAAAGTTCATTATATATAAATTTTTGAAATAAATAATTTTAATTTGACGTTTTTTGAATGTAAGGTTATAGAAAATTTTTTTCCCAAAAACGGTTAGGATTAAAGAAATTAAGGTTTTTGAGGTTGTCTTATACCAAATTGTAAGCTTCCAGAGTGAACAGTTCATTATATATAAATTTTTGAAATAAATAATTTTAATTTGGCGTTTTTTGAAGGTGAGGTTATAGAAAATTTTTTTCTCAAAAACGGTCATGATTAAAGAAATGAAGCTTTTTGAGTTTATAAAGGAACGTTTGAGGTTGTCTTATACCAAATTATAAGCTTCCAGAGTGAACAGTTCATTATATATAAATTTTTGAAATAAATAATTTTAATTTGACGTTTTTTGAAGGTGAGGTTATAGANAACTTCACGCGATTATTTTCCCGCCTAAAACACACCACAAAACAGGAAGAATCTTAAAAAGGTTATTTTAATGTATTTCGCCTATTTTTAAGCTAAACCCGAATAAAAATGATTAATCAACAAATAGTCGATCAAGATTTGCAAGAAATCGTAAAAGAATACGAGGATTTCTTAGATGATGAGGTTATAACTAAAAAGTTAAAATTAAGTTAGATTAAAATTAAGTTTATGTTTTAGGAACATCAAGGTAAATATGTAACCCTTGTAAAAAGCATGGTAGCCGAAAATGGTAAACGATTAATTGTTAATGTAAATGATTTAAGAAGAAAAAATCCAACTCGAGCCAAACATCTTTTAAACAACGCCTTCGAAGAACAACTTGCCTTTCAAAAAGCTTTAAAAGAATTTATCCCGATCGCAGCTCCCGACTACGACAGTAAAACGTACGAAGATGTTTTTATTGGGTTTGAAGGGAGCTTTGGAAATAAACACGTAACCCCGCGGAGTTTGCATTCAAGATTTTTGGGGAATTTAATTTGCGTAGAAGGAATCGTAACTAAATGTTCTTTGGTTTATCCAAAGATGGTAAAAAGCGTGCATTATTGTCCGGTTACTAAAAAAACGATGGAGCGTCGTTACACGGATTTAACTTCTTTAGAAGCATTTCCATCAAGCTCAGTTTACCCCACGAAAGATGATGAAGGCAATACTTTAGAAACGGAATTTGGTTTATCAAACTATAAAGATCACCAAACAATTTCAATACAAGAAATGCCAGAAAAGGCCCCTGCGGGGCAATTACCCCGTTCGGTCGATATAATTTGCGATAACGATTTAGTTGATTTATGTAAACCAGGGGATCGGGTACAAATCGTTGGGAATTATCGATGTATGCCCAATAAACAAGGAAGTTTCACCACGGGAACTTTCCGTACGGTCGTTATCGCCAATAACATCACTCAACTCAGCAAAGAAGCAAATCCTTCGATTTCAAGGGATGATATCGCCAAATGCAAACAATTAGTTAAAGACAATAAAAACGTTTTTAATTTATTATCGAAATCTTTAGCTCCGTCGATTCACGGACACGAATACATCAAAAAAGCCATTTTATGCTTATTATTGGGCGGGGTCGAAAAAAACTTGCTTAACGGAACCCGGTTAAGAGGTGATATTAACGTTTTATTAATCGGAGATCCATCCGTTGCGAAATCACAACTTTTACGATACGTTTTGTGCACGGCTCCAAGAGCTATACCAACGACGGGTCGTGGATCCTCGGGGGTTGGTTTAACCGCTGCGGTTACGACGGATCAAGATACAGGGGAGAGACGTCTCGAAGCTGGGGCGATGGTTTTAGCAGATCGAGGTGTTGTTTGTATCGATGAATTTGATAAAATGTCCGATATGGATCGTACCGCGATTCACGAAGTTATGGAACAAGGAAGAGTTACAATTGCGAAAGCTGGAATTCACGCCAGTTTAAATGCACGGTGTTCGGTTTTAGCTGCTGCTAATCCTGTTTATGGGAAAGTAAGAAATTAATAATTCTAGTACCCGACGTCATCATTACAAGTATGCAACCAAATACGCAAATCGCGTATTGCAATACCAATACTGTGATGTTGGTTGCATACTTGCAATGATGACGTCGGGTATGATAATTAATTAACTCTGTATGTGTACAAGGTTTTCTCTTATACTAAATTTCACATCACACAACTAAAAGGACCGCGTCACTTACAAAATAATAAACATAAGTCAAATTGAATGGTGTTGACCTTGTTCGTCTGTTTATCAATAACATACAATTGATTCAACTTTCCATATGCAGAGGCGACGCTACCGGGGGGTGCAAGGGGTGCACTGCACCCGGGCGCCGCCTAAAAGGGGTTTTTAATGTTTTCTTCAACAATATCTTATCTTTCTTTTGCAATATTTAGACCTGTCAGCAGTAGCTAGTCTTCAGAAAGCAGTATTTAGTCTCCACAAAGCAATTTTAGTCTTTAGAAAGCAGTATTTAGTGTTCCAGANGAAATGAAGCTTTTTGAGGTTATAAAGGAACGTTTGAGGTTGTCTTATACCAAATTATAAGCTTCCAGAGTGAACAGTTCATTATATATAAATTTTTGAAATAAATAATTTTAATTTGACGTTTTTTGAAGGTGAGGTTATAGAAAAATTTTTTTCTCAAAAACGGTTAGGATTAAAGAAATGAAGCTTTTTGAGGTTATAAAGGAACGCTTAAGGTTGTCTTATACCAAATTATAAGCTTCCAGAGTGAACAGTTCATTATATATACTTTTTTGAAAGAAATAATTTTAATTTGACGTTTTTTGAAGGTGAGGTTCTAGAAATTTTTTTTCTCAAAAACGGTTAGGATTAAATAATTGAAACTTTTTGAGGTTATAAAGGAACATTTGAGGTTGTCTTATACCAAATTATAAGCTTCCAGAGTGAACAGTTCATTAAATATAAATTTTTGAAAAAAATCATTTTAATTTGACGTTTTTTGAAGGTGAGGTTCTAGAAATTTTTTTTCTCAAAAACGGTTAGGATTAAAGAATTGAAACTTTATGGGGTTATTTAGGAACGTTTGAAGTTGTGTTATAGCAAATTTCGAAGTTCTAGTGTGACTATCTTATTTTATAAACATTTTTAAAAACGTTACATTAATTTGACATTCTTTTAAATGAGGTAAAATTTGACTTAATTATTATACTGATATAATCAGATATATCAGAATATCTGGGTAATATTAATGTTTTATGTAGAATCCCAACAAGACCAGAAAAATTCAATTAGAATTTTTTTAGATTAACCCTCAAAAGCAATAATATAAACATGATTTAAATGATTAAATAGATTTATTTATCATTGAAAATTAATCGAAATAATACAAAACTAAAAATCTATTCTTAAAGCTAATGATTTATTAAATTAATATTCCACTTCTTCTTTCTTCTTAAAATCTAAAATAATAATTTTTTGTTATAATTATTTTCTTGGAGAAGGTGTTCTTGACCACTCAGACATTTTCTCTTTCATAATTTTCAAACTTTTCGGCGACACAAACTTCGAACTATCCACACTAGTTGATCTACGAGAATTCGACCTCCTCCTTCTGCGTTCCCTCGAAACACTCCGACTTTTCGTCCTTTCGGTACTCCTCGATCTGCCTTCTTTCGAATAACTCCTCCTAGGAGTATAACTCCTTCTAGATCTACTATAACTCCTCCTCGATCGTTTCCTCGATCTCGATCTGGATCGACTTCTCGAATAACTCCTCGACTTAGAGCTTCGCCTTAAAAATTTATTAAAATATCTTTGATATTGGTCTTGAACCTCCGGCGGATAAAAAAGATTGCGATTTCGACCACGTTGCCGAAAATTTCTGTAAGAACGTGATGGTCCTTGACCCCCTCTTTGGGGTCTTCGCGGGAGATAAGAGTAGTATTGGAGAGTTCGTACATCGGGGTAAATTGGGGGGATGTAAGGGAGAAAATGATATGGTTGTTCTGGGGGGTTTTCGATGGTTGTGATTCGCTTTTTTGGGGGGGATTCATCTGGGGAGAGGGATGTATCGGAGTCTGAGAGATGGGGGGTGTCTTTAATGGATTTATTGAGAACTGTTTTTAAAACGACGCGGCTTTCGATGATTTTGTGGAGTTTGTTTCTTTGTTCTTGGTGTTCTTTTTCTGATGATAATTTGTATTTGCTTAACTAAAAATAAAAATTAATTAGTAAATTATTTGACAGATTTGAAACGTCAAAATTTCAAAAAATTTCGATTTAATTTAGGACTTTCTAAAGTTCCGATTTAAAAAAAATTAAATAAATCCTTTTTTTATATGATTTAAACACAAATTAATTAATTTTTAAAAGAAAATTTCATTAAATTGAGTTTTAATTTTGATTAATTGTGAAGTTGGTTACGGTTGGTAACATTGAATTTGTGTCACTTTTGACGTTTAAACTTTATTCAAAAATTATTATTATTAAATTAAATGATTTATAATTACTTCAGTAACTGAGTTTTTATTCTTTTCAAACGGTGTTAACTCATCTTCATGTTTAACTTTGATTCTGCGAAATAATTCTTCAACTAATCTTATTGCTTCTAATTTTCTTTGTGCTTTCAACAACTTTTTCTCTTCTTTAGCTATTTTTGCGTTAATCTCATCCGCTTCGCTGTTTTTGAGCTGCTCCAAAATCTTTGCTTTTCGCTTCTCCTCGCGTTGACGCCTCCTTTTTTCTTTTTCTTCCTTTAATGAGCGTTCTTTCTTTCTAAATCCAACCTTTACTTTATTACAAAATACACAAATAACCTAAAAAATACCTTTCCTCTTCAGCATCTTTCATTTTTAACCTGCTCTCATATTTCTCTTTGTCCTCCTTCTGTTTTTGGCGCTTAATTAGCCTCTCGCGGACGATTTCTCTCCTTTTAATAGCCGCTTCGGTCATGTGTTTAGTTTTATCAAAATCTACTTTGATAGAAACGGCGTAATTCTCAAAAGCGTCTTCATCTTTATGTAAAAGCTTCATTCCTCGCAAACTATCCATGGCTTTAACGAATCCTTGGTAATCTTTAAATTGGATATACGCCTCGAAAAAATCTTTTTCATCAAAACTAAAAGTTAAAAGCCCCGACATATACGATTTCATCTGCTTCCTGTATGGGTCACAAATGGGGATATCAACGTTTCGTATGCGACCAAATTTTTCGAAAATTCGTTTTAAAATCTTCTCCGATGGCTTGGGGTCATCGTCGGAGTGGTTTAATAAAAACCAACGTATGGGTAAGTTGGAAATATGAAGCGTATCTGGGCGCTCCCCCGGTTTTCTTTCATCCATATCTTTAGCTTCCCTAAAAAAGGAATCCCAAATGTGTTGATTTGGGAATTCTTGTTTCGTTTCGAACGCTTTTATCATAAATAAATGATTGAACTCCTTCAATTTGATCATTTTATTATGCAGCTTAACCACTATACTTTCTATTTTATTCCTGTCGTCTAAATCTCCGTCGAATTTTATGTATTCCAGAGTGCTTTTAGAAACTTTTAATAAAGCGAATTCATCCGGTTTGATCAACTCCTTAATCTTCTCCATTAAATCCCAATTCGAAATCGTTTTTCCCACTAATTTTTCAGGTAATTTCACTGTAACCGTTATTTGGGCTAAGGGCTTTAAAAATAACTGCTGTGGGAGGTAAAGGGGCTCCACATCCGAGGTGTTTCGACATTTCTGAAAAGCATTCATGATTTTTTCACCGTTTTTTAGCTTACTTATAAAGACAATATATTTTTAATACATTAAATAAGCAATAAACGGTGATTAAAATCAAAGATACTTTTCTGTAATACTAATCTAAAAGGATTTTAGTTATAGGTTATATTTTTTGACAGGAACATAACCTATAACTGTCAAAAAATTATTTGTCAAATTTTATTTAATTTTTAGAATTACATTTTCTTTAATTACAAAAACAGGACAAAAGCGTTATTAACAACTACGTTATATATTAATTACTTGATCTCTCTAAAACTGTTATAAAATTGTGCGTCTAAANTTTAGTCTCCACAAAGCAATTTTAGTCTTTAGAAGGCAGTATTTAGTGTTCTAGACGCTGTATTTAGACCTGTCGGCAGTATCTAGTCTTCAGAAAGCAGTATTTAGTCTTCTAGAAGCAATATCTAGTCTTCCACCAAGGTTATGTATGTTTTCTCCAAAATATTTTGTCTTTCTTTTGGAGTATTTAGACCTGTTAGCAGTATCTAGTCTTCAGAAAGCAGTATTTAGTTTTTTAGAAGCAGTATCTAGTCTTCTGCCAACGTTATGTATGTTTTGTTCTTGATACTGACAGCTATTACTAGTACCTCATTTCTGTAGCTGTTACTTTGCTTTTGCTTATCCTGCATTGTCAAAGTTTCCGTATTGGTTATTTCCTGTCCTGTGCAATAACAAGACAAGTCCATTCTTTGATTAAACACATAAGTATTGCCATGAAAAATCATGTTTGGTTTATAATCAATTTTGTGTTTTCTTTGAACAGTAATTTCAGAGTTCATGTGGACTTTGAACAATGTAATTCCCGTTTTTTGCTGAAGTCTAGTTTATAACTATTGCAATTTCAGACAAATTAACCTTCTGACCAGAGTATTCCCTTAAGTCTGGTTTTTCGCCAGTATAATTCTTAAATTTTTGCTGAAGTATGGATTATGATATTCCAGTCTTTTTTAAGTTTAGTTATATTTCTTTGATTATATATTTTTTTAAAATTAAAATGCATTTCGTGCCGGCGCTTCATTTGACACTGTCCATATGCCAAGATATTTAACATGTTCGTCCAACTCGTTCCATCTAATAGTTTCTCCGTTAATTGTTAATTAAACTAATAGTTAGTGACTAATTAATAGTTTAGTGGCAGAAAGGGATAAACATAATTATGATCTGCCTCCTCATCTGAGTGACGTTCATGCGATCAATAAATTTTTTATTAACTGTATTCTTAAATTTGATCAGGACATTGCAGCGGTGGTTAATGACTACTTATCGAATCCAGTATTTACTGAGGAGCTAATGGGTTTTAAAAAAGTTTCCGAATGGGAAGTGGTTATTATGTTTAGTCAATTATTGTTCCATTTTTGTTAGATTATGTAACACATTTGATAAACTTTTCGTTAGAACACTCTGTATTTTCCCGTAGCTGGAAGACGGCTCAATTAATTCCTCTTAGAAAGAAACTCAACATAGACAGATTGGATGTTTTTAGACCCATAGCTCTTCTACCACTGTTGTCAAAAATTTTGGAGAAGGTTATGGATAAAAGCTGCGCGACATTGTAAATCATAATAACTTGTTGCCTGAGTGTCAGTCGGGGTTCAGGGTGGGTTATAGTTGCAGCACTGCTTTACTAGAAATATTAGACGGCGTACACGAAGCTATGGATAGGAGGAAATGCGTAGCGCGTTTTGTTAGATTTCTCCACAGCGTTCGATTCAATTAACCACAAAATTATGTTAGGTATTTTAACGTCGTGTAGACTGTCACCATCGGCAGTTTCCTGCGGGATTGGCAACAGTTGGTTGGCAAATGGCTTAATATGAGTAACAGAAGGGAATTACACGCCGCTACACTGTTTTACAAGGTTCTGCACGCCACCATATCTAAATAACAAAATGTCAGAACTGATGTTGATAATATTAATGTTAGATTTCGCGGTCGGCTCACGTTTCCCAAACACCGTACAGAGTCTTTTAAGAAATCGTTTAGCTATTGTATGCCAAATCTATGGAATAGAATACTGGAGATGGTGGCTAAGTTTGCTCCTCGTCTCTTTAAACGGGAACTGTGGTCGTTTACTGTGGGCAAAAATTTTTGCAATACACTTGGATGGATTTATTGCTATATTCCAAGACATAAACCATTTGACTAGGGTGTTTATAACTATTTGCAGATTTTTTTGCATCCTTGAGTTCAAAGCTTTGCGCTATTAAGGTTGTATGGTCTGCAGATGCCAGCATGTGAATATTTGCACTCCTTTTTCCGGTAGATATTTTATAGCCGAGTTAGGAATTTGGAGGCAGACAAGTCTCAACCGCAATCTGTCCAACCTCATTTATTGTGACTTTTTGGAAGTTACTGTTCAATACTGGATTATGGTTTTCTTTATATGATATCAAAGAAGTTGTAAAATTTGGAGTGCTGAAGAAGCGGTACCTGAATATTTTCTCCCCATATTCTGCAAAACCAGTACTTTTCTGTTGATCCAGTTACTAAGTGTCCATTATCAATATTTAAAGTTGATATTTCATTAGATTTTCTCGTGATTCTTTTTGTTGCTTTCCATATTGCGTGACTATTGGATTCTGCTATTTTTCTGGCTTATAAGAGATTGGCTTTCTGATGAGAGATTTGTTGTAATTTCTATACCGATTATTTCAATATTACCGCAATTAACTAATAAGAGTTGTTGATTCGTAAACTTTTTCTTAATTAATATAGCCACCAATTTTTTTTTCTAATTTTTAGTACGACCAATATAAAACTCCGATGGAAAATATTGGACTACAAGATTCTTTATTATCACGTTTCGATTTATTATTCGTCGTGCTTGATACTGTGAATGAAGATACCGATCTGATGATTTCCGATCACGTTGTGAGAATGCACCGATATAGGAATCCTTTGGAACAAGACGGCGAAGTCCTCCCGATGGGTTCATCCGTAGATATGCTCAGCACTCACAATCCAGATTTAGATGACGACAAAGAAACGGAAATGTACGAAAAATACGATCCTTTATTACACGGAGGAAGCCGCAAGAAATCCGATAAAATCTTAAGCGTTGATTTCATGCGAAAATACATCCATTTCGTAAAAATTTTAAAACCAACATTAACCGAGGAAGCCTCAGAAATCATCTCTGATGAATACTCTAAATTAAGATCGGAAGATATGTTAGAATCCGATGTCGCCAGGGTAAGAATTAAAAAAAATTATAACCTCAAATATATTCATCTTCTTCTTAATCAGAGATAAAAAAACTTGGTGGATGAGCCTATATAATCCTTTTACCACCAGTCATAAATTTTCTTGTATTAGTTTGTCTTAAAATTATTCTCTGACATTCCTCTAATTGCCTTTAAATCTGCTAATATCGTCCCAAACCAAAACATGCTCAGAAATCCAACCCAACTCAATCTTCAGATTTTCTACTGTACACTGCTAGCAAAGTCTTTCTTCCCAATGCACGGATCACGCTCAACGAATCAGAGAATATCACCACAGGTGACACCATATTTGTTTTTACAAAGTCCATTGCTTACCATACAGCAAACAGTACAGCCACAAATATGTTACCATGATGAGCTAAACCCAGGCAATACTCTCCATTAATCTTCCCACCAAACTAGTTCGACGCATGATTTTTCACACCAAATGTATCCATTAAAAGACGCAACCTTAAATCCAAAGGCCTTAATATCCGCTTCAACCAATAATGCATTAGTTGGTGTAGATCTAATAGTACCAGTAATAACCCTGGCTGCCTGAAACTGAATGTTGGTTAACTTCTTGAATACCAGAACTGGGACAGGCAACATCAACCATATAACTAACTCCAGTCTAAACTGAATAAGTGCTTTATCATATACATTTATCATATACTTTATCATACATTTATCATATACTTTATCATATCAATTTATGTTAGTTAAAATTCAAGAAAATCCTTTATTTTTATCGCGACTTATTTGGACAGATGAATCAAAATTTTCGAGGGCTGCCGAAAATCCTCATGCAGTCAGAGAGGCAAATTTTCAACAAAAATTTAGTTTTAACGTTTTTGTTTTGTTAATAGGAAACCAACTTTGTTTTGAAATTTATGATGAAAATTTAAGCAGTCAACGATACTTAGAAATTTTAAGAGGTACAGTTACTGATTTTTGCGAAAGTTTGCCTCTTAACACATTTGTAAATTGTTGGTATCAACTGGATGGTGCTCCAGCACACTCTTCAGGGCAAATTTGCCAACAATTAAACAATTTGTTTGATGACCGGTAGATTGGAAGAAATGGACCATGGCAATGGCCTCCACGATCTCCAGATTTAACACCATTGGATTTTTATTTGTGGGGTCACTTAAAAAATCAAGTGTACAATTCACCGAGCTTTGGGATTCTATGTCTGTTTTTGATTAATTTTCCAATATCAGGGAAACTACAATAAATAGGTATAGGAATGTTTATAGATAATTTGTAGAGAATTAAATTCCCTTTCTGATAGGGTAAAGAAATATGGGGTGTTCCATTTAAAATTTTCGACTTTCTCGCAATTGAATATTGAGAAACGATAATTCAATTTTTGACCAGCCTGTATAAGATTTTCTGATACAACAAATGACAATCTATTTGGCAGCATCTGTAGAGTAGCCGTGCCAATGCAGAGGTTTTTTGAATGATCGTTAGCTAAGATGTGGGCTTTTAAAGACCATGGTGAAATTTGTCAAAAAATACTTAAAATCAAAATAACTCGACAACAAAAAACGCTAGGTACCAACAACTTTTATCAAAGTCAACATATTTTTTTACGTATAATTGAAAGGTGTAATAAACACTATAGCATTCCATTTAAAATAACGAAGTTGTGGTCTACTTCCGGTAGACCGGAAGGGGTGGCCATCTTGAAAATATTTTAGATCAAAAGTTTAGAATGAACAACCCATGCTACCAAAATTTCAAACCACTACGAATAGTGGAACCTAAAAAAGTTCTAACGAACCAGTTACGTGAGACACCCTGTATATGATAAAGCACTTATTCAGTCTAGACTGGAGTTAGTTACATGGTTGATGTTGCCTGTCCCAGTTCTGGTGTTCAAGAAGTTAACCAACATTCAGTTTGAGGCAGCCAGGGTTATTACTGGTACTATTAGATCTACACCAACTAATGCATTATTGGTTGAAGCGGATATTAAGGCCTTTGGATTTAAGGTTGCGTCTTTTAATGGATACATTTGATGTGAAAAATCATGCGTCAAACTAGTTTGGTGTTCTAAACAAAAAAAAAAGTTCTAACGAACCAGTTACGTGAGACACCCTGTATAATAAGTAGGGCACGGAACTTTTGTAACAAAACGATACGATTTCCCCCCTCCACTCGTTCTGATTAAAGGAACAGCATACTGTTCAGTGGGAAATTAAAATTTCAAGTTAGAAAAAAATTGTGTTAACAAAAATTGTTCCTGAAACAATTCTAAACAAACTTTGTCAACAATTTTTTTTGATTTAATCAATAATTAAGGAGATAACCTCAAAATAATAATTTTTCCGTTTTTATACATAATTATACTTAGATGCTTAATTAATAGAGATGTAAAAATTTTTTATTAAGATAATTGATTCAAAATCGAAATTGAAACAAATTTTATTTAAAACATTTTTTGATAAAAACAATAATTATTGAGATAATTAATTTTGATAGCATACTATTCAGAGGGAAATTAAAATTTCAAGTTAGCAAAAAATTGTATTAACAAACACTGTTCCTGAAGTAATTCTAAACAAATTTTGTTAACAACATTTTTTGATTAAATCAACAATAAGGATATAACCTCAAAAATATTAATTTTTGTAGCATACTGTTCAGTGGGAAATTAAAATTTCAAGTTAGAAAAAAATTGTGTTAACAAAAATTGTTCCTGAAACAATTCTAAACAAACTTTGTCAACAATTTTTTTTGATTTAATCAATAATTAAGGAGATAACCTCAAAATAATAATTTTTCCGTTTTTATACATAATTATACTTAGATGCTTAATTAATAGAGATGTAAAAATTTTTTATTAAGATAATTGATTCAAAATCGAAATTGAAACAAATTTTATTTAAAACATTTTTTGATAAAAACAATAATTATTGAGATAATTAATTTTGATAGCATACTATTCAGAGGGAAATTAAAATTTCAAGTTAGCAAAAAATTGTATTAACAAACACTGTTCCTGAAGTAATTCTAAACAAATTTTGTTAACAACATTTTTTGATTAAATCAACAATAAGGATATAACCTCAAAAATATTAATTTTTGTAGCATACTATTCAGTGGGAAATTAAAATTTCAAGTTAGAAAAAAATTGTGTTAACAAAAATTGTTCCTGAAACAATTCTAAACAAACTTTGTCAACAATTTTTTTTGATTTAATCAATAATTAAGGAGATAACCTCAAAATAATAATTTTTCCGTTTTTATACATAATTATACTTAGATGCTTAATTAATAGAGATGTAAAAATTTTTTATTAAGATAATTGATTCAAAATCGAAATTGAAACAAATTTTATTTAAAACATTTTTTGATAAAAACAATAATTATTGAGATAATTAATTTTGATAGCATACTATTCAGAGGGAAATTAAAATTTCAAGTTAGCAAAAAATTGTATTAACAAACACTGTTCCTGAAGTAATTCTAAACAAATTTTGTTAACAACATTTTTTGATTAAATCAACAATAAGGATATAACCTCAAAAATATTAATTTTTGTAGCATACTATTCAGTGGGAAATTAAAATTTCAAGTTAGAAAAAAATTGTGTTAACAAAAATTGTTCCTGAAACAATTCTAAACAAACTTTGTCAACAATTTTTTTTGATTTAATCAATAATTAAGGAGATAACCTCAAAATAATAATTTTTCCGTTTTTATACATAATTATACTTAGATGCTTAATTAATAGAGATGTAAAAATTTTTTATTAAGATAATTGATTCAAAATCGAAATTGAAACAAATTTTATTTAAAACATTTTTTGATAAAAACAATAATTATTGAGATAATTAATTTTGATAGCATACTATTCAGAGGGAAATTAAAATTTCAAGTTAGCAAAAAATTGTATTAACAAACACTGTTCCTGAAGTAATTCTAAACAAATTTTGTTAACAACATTTTTTGATTAAATCAACAATAAGGATATAACCTCAAAAATATTAATTTTTGTAGCATACTATTCAGTGGGAAATTAAAATTTCAAGTTAGAAAAAAATTGTGTTAACAAAAATTGTTCCTGAAACAATTCTAAACAAACTTTGTCAACAATTTTTTTTGATTTAATCAATAATTAAGGAGATAACCTCAAAATAATAATTTTTCCGTTTTTATACATAATTATACTTAGATGCTTAATTAATAGAGATGTAAAAATTTTTTATTAAGATAATTGATTCAAAATCGAAATTGAAACAAATTTTATTTAAAACATTTTTTGATAAAAACAATAATTATTGAGATAATTACTTTTGATAGCATACTATTCAGAGGGAAATTAAAATTTTAAGTTACCAAAAAATTTTATTAACGAACACTGTTCCAAAAGTAATTCTAAACAAATACTGTTAATAAAAATTTTTGATTTGATCAATAATTAAGAACATAACCTCAAAAAAATGTTTATATATATATTTTTCTATATTTTTTATTGAAAAAATTGTTTTAGAATTTAATTTAGAACAACTTTTGTATGAAATTTTCTGCTGAGAACGAGTGGAGGGGGGATATCGTGTCGTTTTGTTACAAAAGTTCCGTGCCCTAATAATAAGTGCTAAATAATGCTGACAAAATATCAATGAAGACTCCAACCATAAGATTTCCTCGATAAAACGCTACCTGTACATACCCAATCACAGTAAAAAGACAATGAGCCACCCCTTCCCTCTCCAAAACCAAACAAAGATTCATCAAGCATCAAATGGGATTCCATCCAGCATTCCAGACGCGCCAAGTCAAGTATTTTCCTGGAGCAATTGATTAACGAAATGATCCTATATCCCTCTCTCATCTGAAATATTATTCAACATGGCAAAACTCACATCATCTGAACCCAAAGGTACCAAAAGGCTTACCTATATTAATCTTTATTTTAGACCCAACCTGTAACAGCAAGAACTTTAGAAACGATGATTCGTTTAGCAACGGCTCATGCAAAAGCTCGAATGTCACGTTTTGTTGAATCTCAAGACGCAAACGCCGCAATAGAATTGGTACAATACGCGTATTTCAAAAAAGTTCTCGAAAAAGAAAAGAAAAAACGTAGAAGAAACGACGACGAAAGTGAAAATGAAGAGGAGGAAGTTGTTGGTACTCAAAGAAATAAACGAACCCGCGGTAACAATGTTGATGAGGATGATGGGGTGCATCCTTTACCTCAAACGCAAAGTTCGACGCGATCGGAACCTGTACAAGAAGAACAAGACATTGAAATGGAAAATGTTGCAGATGAGCCAATTAGTGGAGGATCAATTTCGGACGATCGATTGAGTAAATTTAAAAGTTGCCTTCAAAAAACGTTTAGGGAGAATCGCACGCAATCTTTGAGTTTGGTTAAAGTTAAAGATAGCGTTAATTCGCAGTACTCAAACGAGCCGTTTTCTCAAAGCGAAATTAACGCCGCCGTTGAAAGAATGACGGAGGATAATCAGGTTATGTTATCGGATGGAATTGTTTTCTTAATTTAAGATTTTTTTGTAATAAATTTTATTTTCAATATTACATAGTTTATCTTATACTTAATTTACAAACATTATTTAATTGTACACCTTGCGCAACTAAAATGGGCGTTGTCGAAAACAATTTAATTGGCAAATCCCAAACCATCGTTTCAATGGAAAGTTCGCCAGGTGCTTGCCAATCGAAAACATCCAAATCGGGGGGTTGTAGCCCAGAATTTGTACTGGTAACAAATTCAAAGTGTAATCTCCATTTTAAACTAACTAATTTGGTTGAAAACGCTGGTGTGACATGAAGTGGAATTGGTAAAATAACTTGGGTGTATTTTAACCCCAAACAAACTTCATGGTGTTTGCTGTACGTGCTTATTTTAGTCTGCTTATTATTTTCATCTAAACTGGTTTCTTCTTCACATTGAAGCGAAACGGAGACTTGGACGCAATTAACTGTTGCTACGGTAAAATCAAAAGTCCCGATAATATCCTCTCCTAATTTATAAGCTGGTTTAAATAAACAAAACCGAGCAACTTTTCCAAAAATATTTGAAATCACATAAAAATTCGGATTTCTTCTTGCCGTAATATTTTGTAGAGCCTCAAGAGCTATATCAAAAGGAGTTTCTTTTTGTTTTATCTCCAAAAAGGGATTAGCTGGAGATAATTCTTCGGTTGTATCGTTACATAAACCGCTTATATCGCTTAAAATGGGCACAGACACGGGTAAAACTCGAAATGAAACTCTTAATAATTTAACTGGACTGTTAACTCGTTGAGTTCCGATAGTTATTTTATAAGAATATTTTACTAATTGGCCTCTATAAGACGGTGGGGCATCTCCGGGAATTTTTTCACGATAAATATCTATAAAAAAAAATATAATTCAAGGATCATCATGTCAATTTTTTTTAAAATTACTCAAGCCATTACAAATAAAAAAAAGTGCGGAAAAATAGAACTAACACTAGACCTAGAACTAGAATCATTCGGGTTTAGCCGTCTTGAGAGACTTGCGTCTCTTAACTCTTTGTGTTCCGACGATACTTTAAGTACTGGTAGCTTTAAACACTCATTTTAAACTGTAGTCATCTATTCAACGCATTTAAAGCTGTCGATACAAGAAAGAATCTGTATAAAAAATGACGCAATCCGCACTATAGAGTTTTTAGGTATATTTAAACTTATTCATCCAGATGTGAGGTTACAAGTTTAGTGAAAAGTGGTGTTGTTGAATTTTGTTGTTCAAAAAGATATCTGTTTGAATAAATGGTTATTAGGTGTGATTTGTAATCCCGAAAAAAGTTATATTTTGTGTTTGGTACGTAAAAGTACCGCCAGGATAAATATTGAGATTGAAAAATAGAAGATGACATTGTTATTACTAGTGCTAGTGAGGTACCTATGCTGGAAGATGAAGAAGTAGAACAACTAACTGACAAAAATGAGGAAAGGGACACTGAAGTAGTAGAAATACGTGGCAAAGGGCCCAACAAGAAGAACTAGGCAGAAATTGACAGAAAATGGGAAAAACAGACTGAAATTCCAGGATACCATTATGCAGAGGGAATAATTGGTGATACTTTATTAATCCTAGGCAAGTGTGTGAAAGATATTACCTTTCAAAGTAACTTGCACGCCACCCCAAAGGAATAAAATGCTAAACTTGGAAAAAGATATAGCCATAAATTTCTTAATGAGTTGTCACAGTTTGCCAAGCTATAAACTCTTCTGGAGTAATGCTGAAGACTTGGATGTACGACTTGATCCGCCCGTATTTTGAAAAACTTAACGGTCAGTTTTGCAGTTATTATCATGGCACTAGGCAATTGGCTGTGGACGAATCCATGATAATCTCCAAAGCGAGGTCAAGTATGAAACAATTCAATCTCATGAAGCACATAAAAAGGGGTTATAAGCTCTGGTGCTTAGCAGATAAGAAAGGGTACATAGAAAAATTTGATGTGCATGAGGGAAAATCTCCTGAAACTGAAGAAAAATTTCAATAAATACGGCTTCCAGTAATTTTAAATTAGCATCTTTTTTGATATTTTTAGGTTGTACGAAAATGTAAGTTTTGTTTCAACATTTTTTTTCTCAACATTTTTCCAATCCAACCCAACAATTATTATACATCATTTTAAAGAGAAAGCTTTAAGCTTTAATTTAGAACAAGTTTTATTCCTTAATTTCAATAAATACGGCTTCCAGGAATTTTTAAATTAACTTCTTTTTTGACACTTCTAGGTTATACGAAAATGCATGTTTTGTTATAACATTTTTTTTCTCAATATTTTTCCTATCCAACCCAACAACTATTATACATCATTTTAAAGAGAAAGCTTTGAGCTTTAATTTAAAATAAGTTTCATTCCTTAATTTCAATAAACACGGCTTCCAGGAATTTTTAAATTAGCATCTTTTTTGACACTTTTAAGTTGTACGAAAATGTAAGTTTTGTTTCAACATTTTTTTTCTCAATATTTTTCCAATCCAACCCAACAATTATTATACATCATTTTAAAGAGAAAGCTTTGAGCTTTAATTTAAAATAAGTTTCATTCCTTAATTTCAATAAATACGGCTTCCAGGAATTTTTAAATTAGCATCTTTTTTGACACTTTTAGGTTATACGAAAATGTAAGTTTTGTTTCAACATTTTTTTTCTCAATATTTTTCCAATCCAACCCAACAATTATTATACATCATTTTAAAGAGAAAGCTTTGAGCTTTAATTTAAAATAAGTTTCATTCCTTAATTTCAATAAATACGGCTTCCAGGAATTTTTAAATTAGCATCTTTTTTGACACTTTTAGGTTATACGAAAATGTAAGTTTTGTTTCAACATTTTTTTTCTCAATATTTTTCCAATCCAACCCAACAATTATTATACATCATTTTAAAGAGAAAGCTTTGAGCTTTAATTTAAAATAAGTTTCATTCCTTAATTTCAATAAATACGGCTTCCAGGAATTTTTAAATTAGCATCTTTTTTGACACTTTTAGGTTATACGAAAATGTAAGTTTTGTTTCAACATTTTTTTTCTCAATATTTTTCCAATCCAACCCAACAATTATTATACATCATTTTAAAGAGAAAGCTTTGAGCTTTAATTTAAAATAAGTTTCATTCCTTAATTTCAATAAATACGGCTTCCAGGAATTTTTAAATTAGCATCTTTTTTGACACTTTTAGGTTATACGAAAATGTAAGTTTTGTTTCAACATTTTTTTTCTCAATATTTTTCCAATCCAACCCAACAATTATTATACATCATTTTAAAGAGAAAGCTTTGAGCTTTAATTTAAAATAAGTTTCATTCCTTAATTTCAATAAATACGGCTTCCAGGAATTTTTAAATTAGCATCTTTTTTGACACTTTTAGGTTATACGAAAATGTAAGTTTTGTTTCAACATGTCTTTTTTCAATATTTTTCCAATCCAACCCAACAATTATTATACATCATTTTAAAGAGAAAGCTTTGAGCTTTAATTTAAAATAAGTATTAATCTTCTAAACCTGAATGTATCTAGTTTTTGGTCTATTGTTAGTTCTAGTATTAACACAGAAGAGTCTATTGAAACACAGTTTATTTAACAAAATGTTCCACACGTTTCTTTAGTAATAAAAATAAATAGCCTTACATGTTTTAGTTTGACCTGGGGACAATCTTAAATCGCAAAACAAAATTCTCGGTTTAGTGGCCACCTCGGTTCTTCCAGAATCGTGATTCCCCACGGACAAGGTAGTATTATTTATTAAACAATTACTTTCATCCTTTTTCTCCGTTTTGGTCCTGTTCAATTTCGAATCGGTCGTACATTGACAATGAATTTGGGCGGAGGCCCAAGCTAAACTTTCGAAAGCGTCGTTATTGCTTTGCGAAACGCGATGTTGCGGCGAAGGAGGATGCGTAAACGATATTCCACACTCAACAATCTCACCCAACAAATAAACAGGACCCCGAATTAATTTCGCAGTCACTTCTATCATTTTATTCAATGATTTATAAATTTTTAAGGTTAACAAATAAACAGCTGTTTTTGACAGTTATGAAATAGGTTATGATGTATAATACGGTACAAAAGAAAACGAACAATTTGTTTTTGTAAGGGTCATTCAAAATAATAATAGTTTCAAGGTTGTTAATTATAACAACTTTATTTGCTTTGAATGTTTGTTATTTAAAACTTAAAAAGAATGTTTATTATGTTTTTTTAAACGAATTAAGTAATATATTACAAATTTGTGATTATCTAAGTTTTGTTATCATAAAGTTTTTATCGAAATTATGAGTATTAAATAGATAATCCATTAACTAAGATGATGAAATTATACCTTATTGCGTTTTTAGTAAGAAATTTAATTAAATTTTTATTATTTACTAATTTATTTATTTTTATTTAAGGATATATTTAATATTGCATTATTAGTACCAATAGCACCTGTTCATTTGCTTGCTATTGGAGGAACAAGGTTCCAAATTGGATTATTAGCTTCCTTACACGCAGTTTTACAGTTATCCATTGGACCGTTAATAGTAATTTCTATTTATTCGTTTTATTTTGTTAATAATTAAATGTTTATTATTACAGGGTAGTTGGAGTGATACAAAAGGAAGAAAACCTTTATTAATCCAATTAGGTTTCTTGGTTTTAATCAGCAATGCTCTTCTTTTTATTAAATCTTCTTTAATCATTTATGTTTTCTCTCGATTCCTTTTTGGAGTATTTGGGCACATACAAATTTTAATAAAAGCTTTAATAACCGACCATGTACCTAAAGAGAAACAAAACGAGGTTTTTGCAAAAATCGGAGGGTTATTCGGATTAAGTTTTGTTGTTGGACCCTTACTTGGAAGCATTTTAATTTCTTACGGGTTTGAATACATTGCAGCAACTTTAACCGTAACAAGCGTTATTAATTTAAGTAAGTACACAAAATAATCTTCTTTACTTTCATTTAAACCCCATTAAAATCATTAAAACGTGTTAAATATCAAATTGATAGTTTCTGATTTAGGCAACCCAATTTACATCAAATACACCAAAAGGGTTAATTATTAATAAATTAATAATTTTTCTTGTTATAATTTAATATTAACGTTAAAATTCGTTCTAGTTGCATGTCTCACACTACCAAACGAAAAAATCAAACAAAATAAGACCAAAAAAGGCGAAAAGGAATTATTCGAAGCTTTTACAAATTTGAAAACGATTAAATGGGGATCTTATTGGGACGTTTTAACGTATAAATTCTTAGGAGAAACGAGTAACGCGGCTTTTTTCTCGGTTTTTGGAATGTTAATAATGGACGAATACGGAAAAACTCAAGAAGTGATGGCTTATGTTCTATCTTTCTTCAGTTTTATGGTGATTGTAGCAAATTTGTTCAGTAACAAATTAAAATTGGCGTGTTATCCGAATGATACGAAAGGATTAAAGAGAAATCTTCATAGTTTTATTATCGTTACGTTAGTTTATGTGGTGCTTTACGTATTTTCAAGTTTTTGGATGTTAGTATTTCTCATTGTACCTTTATCGGTGTTTAGAACTTTATTGGATGTCACTTGGACTGAAATGTTGGTTATGAGAACTACTAAAGATGATAGTGGAAAGATTATGGGTGTCTTTGAGAGTATGATTCATATGGCTGGGTTATTAACGCCTATTTTAAGTGGGTATGTGGTTGATACGTATGGATATAAATCTACGTTTTTAATTAGTGTGGTTGTGCTAAGTTTTGGAAGTCTATTGGGTTATGATAGATTAAATAAGAAACGTATTAAGAAAGGAAAGAAAGTGAAAAATCAATGATTATTGTATTATTACTATTAAATTAAAAACAATTACATAAAGAATAAACTAAATAACAATTCATAATTTATTTCCAGTCTGTTCCATAGCTTTAATTAATTCCAATTGTTGTTCTTCCCTTGCTTTTCGTTTGGCCTCTTCGTACTCAGCCCGGTGGGATTTATTCTCGGGTGGATAAATCTCCCTTTTCATTTTTGTCACCCAATCTTCAAATAGATCTGGTTGATTGAAATAGTGAAAACACGCAACGGGGAAAGCCATGTAAATTACCATTTTACCGACTTCTAATTTCCAATTTCCCATTTTTCACTTTTTAAACTGATCTTATTATCAGATAAAAGTTAGGTTAAGTTTTTTTTGGTCGGTCAGTTATAAAATGACGTTTGTTATAAAAGCGAAGTTATCTACAGAACGAAGTTCGTTACTTGATCAAGAGATGTCGCTAGTTCATTTAGTTTGAAGTGTCAAAAGTGTCAAAATTAAATATTGTTATTTTTGATAAAATTTGTGATAAATATATTGTGTTATATAGAAATTGTTTAAGGTAAAGTTATCATTGAGAGTAATTTTTGTTAGTTGTAGCTTAAATTTTTGAATTTTATTTTATTTTTAGTTTGGTTTAAAGGGATTGGCAATTGAGAGTGAAGAACTAGTAGAAAGAGAATATAAAATCGACGTGTGAGAGGTTTGGGCTCATTGCCGGGGCAGTGAATAATGGTCGGTGGGATGTGTGGGCCATTAGCATAGGGCGTACGAACGGGCCACGACCTGCCCTACGGCCCACGTGCAGGCGAGATCAACACGAAGAGATACGCCGCTACTCCCACATAACAATGGCCCGTCTGCCCGCGCCTCCTTTCCTTGCGATCGTGTCGTTCTTGGTCCGGGGCTCGTCTTCGCGCCTCTACCTTCTGGGCCGGTTGCCACCGCGGCGGCTACTATACGGCCCCGTAGCGGGGCCCGCGGTCCCCTCGGCCTCGGTCGAGTGTGTTCCTCGTCGCAGATAAGCGCGCCCACGATTTATGTTACGTCATTAATTTACACGGGAAACGCAGAAAGGCGACCCGTTTCGTACCCGGCCGACGAACGAACAATACGCGCACGGGATAAGTGAAGGATAAGTGGGGTCGCTTGTCCGTTTTACGTACGGAGGAGTCACGCGTATAAGTGGACTCCTTCTCGTGGGGCAAAAAAAGCTCCGTTGATCGGATCACGATTCGACGATACAGCTCTTAACTGAGGGCTTGCGTCCTACCTCAAGACACGCACATGATGATATTTTCGCTGCGAGCCTTTAAAAATGCTCACGCAAACTACACACTCATATTTGTTACCTTCTATCATTATAACTCGCAGATTTTTCTTTTTTATTATAAAAACTTATTCGTTTAGTTCCACATGAAAGTGTCTCAAATCGGTTTCCCACACCGTCGATTATGCGGTAAGCGGTATGAAAATTGGCGTTGGCTGGTGACAAAAAGCGCAATATGCAGACAAAGCGGAGCATAAGAAGAAGCGAGGCCACTAATGCACGTGGAAATTCGTTGGGCTCGATTGACGTGCATTATACGCGGCCACCCGCCTCCCCGCAAAAGCGCATCTATTAATGCGCGATTGAAAAACGAAACGGTCGGACCTCCCGATCAAAGCCCAATCTTACGCTTAAATGACAGCACAAATTGACAAAGTAGCCGCTTCTCTCTTCGGCTCTTTCGCCCCTTTTGCAACATTATTGCATTCGGCTCCCTTACTCTAAATTAACATGACCAGGTTTGTACGTAGATAATATGTGGTCATTGGACCGTAATCGCAAACGGGACTATTTTTGCACGAAGTTTATTTCTTTTATTTTAGAAATTTCAAAATATCCTATAGATACCGGATCGCATACCTCTCCTAACAGTATAGGTCTTCGAAGGCGGCCACGTGTAATGGAACAATGGTAGAGGTGTCGCGATCGGAAAAAGGTACGCAGAGTGGGTGACTAAGCAAGAAAAGGCGCACGCAAATAAGAAGTACGGACCGGAGCGCGGCTATTTGTATGCCACCTACGGCCGCACTGTTTGAGATAGACAATGCAGGTGTGTGGAGCTCTCGGTGAGGCATTCCGAGATGCACACCCCCGCTCGAAGATGCTACAATTAGGAAAAATCGGACCGGGCCTATTTGACTTGCAAATTGCCCCAGTCAACGATCCGGGTGGACGTGCCTTATTGTTTTCGCCGAGTTTCAAAGTACCTTACATACTTTCGAATACAAATTTTTATTAAAATCAAATTTATGTATCACTAAACATTACATATTTAGAATTAAGCCTTTATACAGGGTTTCCCAAAACTCCCGGGACGGAGCTATAAGTTTTGAACGAGTGAAGAAAAAAATTTGAAAATTCAAAAGAGTCATAAAAGCTACATTCTTAGATAGTTTAGAAGTTCCATGCAATGTGGAGTTTTTTTGGGGATGGCCACCCCTACATTTTTAAATAAGTAATTAAAAAAGAAACACAACATCATAAACCAAAACTCGATATCTTAATTCTTTCAAGAGTTACGAAGGGTTGACTAATAAATGAGAAAATAAAATGTTTTCATGTTTTTTTTTTGCACGTTTATTACGATTTTTATAACAAATGCTCAAATTGTCGACCAAACGTTCATAAATGGAATTTTGAACCATCAGGAGCATATCCCTAGTGAAAGTGGTGGTTCCCTAGTGATTTGAGTTACGAAAATCCACGTTTAATAAGAGAAGGTCACACTCAGAGATCACAGAAAATTAATGTATGGGCTGGTATTATGGGAGAGAATGTAATTGGTCCATTTTATGTTAATAAAAATTTGGACGGAGACAGATATCTGCAACTGTTAGAAAATCAAGTGGTTCCAAGTGTACAATCAAGTGGATCCAACAAGATGGTGCTGATCTAACACACCACTGGATTTTCTCACATATATTACAAGGCATTCTAGCAAATCTCAAATTATTTCAAATTTATTTGCCCATAATGAATATGATGTCAAATGAATCAGAAGGTGTTCAACATGTAGAAGAGTACTACCCTCAATCTCCTGACACTTCGCCTTAGATCTTTAATCAAACCGACGATCTACAATCACAGCCATTGTAAAAGTTATTGAAGAGATCACAACAGCTCACGATCATCATGGAAAGGCTAGTATAACCTGCTGTGACCTAAGTCGTGCATTCGACACTGTTAACCACGAAATATTGTTAACCAAGATGTCAGTATATGGAGTACGAGGAATATGGAATACTTGAATTAATGAAATCGTACCTTAACAATAGAAGCCAAACTGTGAGTTGGTGTGGTGAAAGATCAGAAATGAGACCATGCAAACATGGGGTGCCCCAGGGGTCGATATTAGGTCCGATATTATTCATCATCTACATGAACGACCTTCCACACAATGTAAAAAATGTTACAACATGTTTATATGCAGATGACACATCGTTCGTGGTAAAAGGTACAACATCGGCGGAGATCGAGAGAAGAACGAATGATGCCGTTGATGCTACAATTGCAAATAAACTTTACATAAATGACTCTAAAACACAAACTTTACACTTTTTTAGTTGTAGTGCAACATGCGTTAAATTTCTTGGGCTGACATTTGATGCTAAGTTGAATTGGCACAATCACGTGGACGCGCTGTGTAAACGTTTGACGTGTGGTGTGTGTGTTGTGCGTCGATTGATGAATTGTGCTGATCAGAACGTTGCTAGGGCAGCCTACTTTTCGACTTTTCATGCCATCGCGACCTATGGGATCACCATCTGGGGCTCTTCGTCGGCTGTGGGAAGGGTGTTCCTACTGCAGAAGCGTTGTATACGTGCTCTGGAAAACCTACAAACGAAACAAACATGTAGACAGTCATTTAAAAAATTAAATATACTTACATCACCGTGTGTATATATACTTACATGTTTATACATTTTAAAAGAAATAACTTTAAACACGAGTATAATACTCGTAATAAACATTTGTTAGAAGTGCCGTTATTACTATTATTATTATTATTATTATTATTAAAAGGAACTGAATGATATGGTTCGCGATCTAAAATTTTCTGAAACTTTGGGATCAAGACTGCAACAACGGAACCTTCTAGCTCCAAGGACAAAAATTTTCTGTTTTAGATCAAGATCAATATTTTGACATCCAACATAACCCACCGGAGTGGCGACTTTTTATTGACTCCAGTAAAACGAGGTTGAATGCATAATGGCAATATATATTGGTGGCTTTGGCTTACACAGCAAACATGAATGAAACCATGACTTCGCTGCTAAAGTCAATCAAATAAAAGGATTATGAAGAAAACTTTGCTGTGATTTAAAAGTTGTTGCACTCAATATTACTGCTTTTTTTGCCTATGGGATAGCCGTAACACTAAGAACTACTATATAGTTAAGAAATGGCCTATAAGAAAATTATATAGTATCTCAATTAGTCTTTGAGATACGAATTTTTAAAGGGTAAGTAGTTTAATCTTATAACAGTTATAATTCTGATTATGCAGAGTTGAATTCAAAAAATCATAACTCCCAAAGTTTCTATTTCATGGTGATATCTCGAATAGTTTCTAAGATATCATTTTTTTGAAGATTATCGTAACCCTAGAACACATACATAAACATTGCAACTATAAACACATACATGGGGTAACTTATTACCCCATTATATAAAACACATTATTATATTCAAATTTTTAATCGTTATGAAAATTACATATAGTAATGCTTCGTTTCAAGCCTAAACTATCATTTTTTACAAGAAAAGCAAATATCAAGTCTATGATCAGTGCATACGGGCTTATTGCACTTAACGCAGCATATTTTTGATTTTCGATCTTTAATCCTTGGACACAAGTGGCACCGTCCAGATTTTAACCGTTTGGCTGGCAATTCATCTTCCTCTGGTGTATTTATATCTAATACTTTCTCTATATCTTTTCTGAGCTCATTTGGTAATTTACCTTTCAATCTATATTCCATATAATTTCGTGCTAACTGTACACCAAGTTTATTCAAAAATTGTTTTCGATTTGGTTTGTCAGGTTTAGTTGATAAGTTAAAAATTATGTAAGCATTAATACCAGTCTGATCAACCATTCCAAACAAAAATCTTAATGGCCATCGTTTAGTTTTTCGCGCAACTGTATAATTATGCGCCATTTGATCAAATGTATCAACTGCCCCTTTTGTAGAATTGTAAAAGAGGATAATCTCCGGCTTTTTACTTTGTTCATCTATTGTTGCTGTCGAATGGACAGTGGAAAGCAATATTACCGATTTTGAACGTTTTGGTGTAAAGGATACCAAGGTTGTCTTTTCAGCAAAGGCGAATTGTGATGAAAGAA